GTGTGTGTGTGTGTGTGTGTGTGTGTGTGTGTGTGTGTGTGTGTGTGTGTGTGTGTGCGTGCCATGTCCTACTGGAGTGGGATGATTTGTGTCCCATGCAGCACAATTTATCTGGATAGTATTTTTTAATAATAAATCGTAATGAAAACAGGCAAAAATGAAATAAAAAAATACTTTCTACTTCTTGCCTTTTTGAAAAATGTAAGAAGTAGAAGTAAAAAGTAGGCTGAAAAATAATTACTCAAGTAAAGTACAGATAACCAAAATTTCTACTTAAGTACAGTAACAAAGTATTTGCACTTGGTTACTTAACAACTCTGCGTGACCACGATGTGTTTGTGTTTGGATGTTACTGACGTGGCAGCACCAGCTGCAGGTAGCCCAGGTAGAAGGACCAAGCCAAGCCATGGGCTACGTTCATCTTCCTCCCCTCGCAGATGTCTGACACCTCCACCTTCGATGGACCCTGCACACCCAACACAGAATCATGTTAGTGCACGGTACCTCCGCTCTAGAGCCACTGCAAAGGGGAATCAGGGAAAAAAAGGGGCATCTCTGCACCAATCATATCTCTGAGAATAGTCATCTAACCCTTTGAGACGTTTGAGAAAGTGTGAGCTACAGGCATACAAACAACAAAAACTTTCTTTCATTAAAACATGTATTTCAAAACATTTATTTCAAATAGTTTTAAACTTAGTGTTGCTTGATGTAGTTTAATTATTTGGTAGTCATTAGCTAAGAAAGAGCCAATCAGTTTTATTATTTCATTGCTGGGACATTAGAGAGGAAAGACCAAGTCACTTACAGTACATCGTGTCCTGAGATGAATTCAGAGCATGTGAATGAAAGCTAAGGTGGAAACTAAAATCATAGAGAGAATGAAGCTCACTGCTTGGTGCAGACTGACAGAAGTGAGGCTGTCATGCACCGGGTGCTCTGACCACCACCAGCAGGCGAGGCAGGTGAAGCGTCTTGCCCAAGGACACAATGACTGAAACGGATGTAACTAGCAACCCACCAGTTACAGGACAGCTCTCCCTAACCACTCAGCCACCTGTGTTCATGGACTGCCTGCATCCTGTTGAAGTCCCTTTCCCAGAATACCAGTCAGTTGTGAGATCAGTCCAGATGTCTACTCTGACCCAGTGTCAATCTGCTGGATCTCAAAGACCCCAACAACAGCTGTGGTGAATAAATGATGGATGATTCCCCACATTTTTATTATCCACTTGATACTTCTCCAAGAGAATAACCAGTAGAAAGGAGTGTGGGCTTGTATTTTAATGCTGAAATGCTTTCTTTGAGGTACAAAAAGGACCATGCCATTAGATTTGTAACTCTAGTCAGTGTAGATAAGCAGACATCAGACATTCTGTTCAACAAACTAAAAACAGCACAACCAAACCCAGCTGCCAAAAACAACTCTTGGTTCTCCCAAAGCACAATCAGGAGTCATCCTGAAGTTCAACTGAATTTACACAAACTGTAGCTCAGCAGTTACAGACATCAAATGCATTCCAGAACGGAACAAACTCCCACAAAACCTAAAACTTTTTGTTGACCTGAAAGGACTTTTCTCATAATGTCAAGAAAGTCTTATTAGAAAACCAGCAGTGTCAGCATTGAAAAATAAATAATTAGTGATTACTGAACAATAGTTTGGTATTTAATAGGGGAGAACAGGGTTGGTTGTCACAGTTGCTGTATCCTTTCTTCTAGAAAGCACTGTTACAAAATTGTTGCGTGTGAGTTTCCAAAATAGTTGTCACAGACTACCTACGTTTTTATTTTAGCAGTGTGACATCTTTCAATGAGATGAGAGGACTTATTGTGTTTTTCACATCATAAAGTAACTTTTGATTACCGGTATTTTTGTGATCATTTTGAATTACCTTTAATCAATGGATTTAGAATTAAACACTTATTGACATTTGAAAGTAAAAAAGGCAGATCTATAGTTAGAATGTTATTTTTCTTTGCTAGACTATAACATGTGCTTGCTAGCACAACTGCTAGCAAAAAAATCGTGATGGGGTTGGTTGTCACATGACCAGCTAGGACCAGACACCACCTGACGTGATGCTCAGGGCAGTCTGCACCGTGAAACTGCTGCACAAATCTATCTGAAGTGAAGCAAAGGACTTTAATATCAATTATCAAACACTGGCAAAATACTACAAACAAGAAGTCCATCAGAGGTTTCTGGGGATGAAATTGGCCCATTGGTGCCTGTGAGATACACCAGGACAGCCTCTTTACATCTGTCAGAACTGGGATGCAGACAGTGACTGAATAAAATGGATAGGCCCTACTCTGTTCAGATGCAGACAACTTGAATCTGTAATTTTTGGCAAGTCCTATCAGTTTATGGCAAATAAGGTGTTGTTTCCTATATAAAATGTTTTTTTTTTTATCAACTAAGATATTAAATTAACCATTGTAAATTAAAAAATCTGGTAAAATTAATATTTATTTTTAAAAGCCTTTCGCTAAATTTTTCTCATTGAAATATAATTGGGACAACCACGTGTGAGACAACCAACCCCGCGATGGGGTTGGTTGTCTCACACATGCACAAGTCATGTGTAGTAGTGCATATGTTTTTAAATAAATCCTCATGAGAAGGATATGATTCTTGTATTTCAAAAAGACACTTTGGGGTTCCATTACACACTGAAATTAGATTGACTAAGCACAGCATATTTTTTATTTAGATGAAAGTAAAAAGTGTGACAACCAACCCCGTTCTCCCCTAATGTTTTTATTGTTGTAATTTTATGACTTTGTACAAAAGGTTCTAAGGCCACATGTATGTTGTACGTTACCAAGGTTTTCTGCTAACACTTATCAAGAAATGAGTATTTCTGTGTTTCTTACAGGGCACTAATGCCAAATTACAACTTTTTTTCTCTTTAACTTTTAAGTCTTTGTTTTGCGTACTTATTCCAGGGGGGAAGAATATCCCGATGTTTTCTAGATGTACTGCTTTTTTGTGAACTGGGTAGGTTGTGGCTGAGTGGTTAGGGAGGTTGTCCTCCACTGCAAGAGTTGGTGGTTTGATTCCCTGCTATTCAGAGGTGTCAAGTAACTAAGTACAAACACATTGTTACTTTACTTAAGTAGAAATTTTGGTTATTTATACTGTAGTGGAGTAATTATTTTTCAGCCTACTTTTTACTTCTACTTCTTACATTTCAATTCAATTATCTGTACTTTGTACTCCTTACTTTTTAAAAATGCAAAAAATATTTCATTTCTATTTAACTTTGACTTGTTTTTTATTCCATCTTTTCATTGTTCAGAAAAAAATTAATAAATATAAATCTATCCAGACACATGGAGCCCATGGATAGAGTGAGTTTGATTGTGGTTGATGAGAAGTGTAAATATAAGTGTAAAAAGTGTAAATATTTACCATTCTGACATCCTATTGGATTGAACTCACTCCATCACACCTGTGTAGTAGTTTCCCTTCACTGCTAC